TTTGTTTTTTTTTTTGGAAGAGGGCGGTTGGCGACTGTTCAGTACAAGGATCTGAACACTTGACCTTGGTACTACAAGTCAGAAGGCTCTACCCAACTGAGCCAACCAGCCAGCCCTAGAGACGTTTTCTTGAATGCATTTAAGATATGATCTAAAGGATTATGTATCGCTAGCTTAGTCCTAGAGGAATAAGAAACTTTGATTTACTTTACAGGATTTGGATAGCCATTGGAGGTATGTCTTTAAGGGGAGGTCTAATAGAGAAGCATTTGAATTTTAGATTAACCATTTTGTGAAATAAAAAATGTATTTTCTGAAGGCAAAGTTGGGCGCAGATAAATCAGAGAGTAAAAAGAAAGCAAAGGAGAGATATGACGTCCTACATGAGGTGGGAGAAAAAAAGGGTCAATGGAACACTTAGGAAGTAGTCATTGTGACTGTAAATCTTTGGAAGGGAGGATGGGGGTAATGAGTAATGAGGAAAATATTCAGACTGATGGTTTAACATACTAGCAAGTTGTAGTTAATTCCCATATTGTTTGAGTTTGACCAACTCCTTCTTGGATTATGGAAACTTTCACTGAGCTAAAGAAGAAAAGTAAAAACAGGTAGGAGAGGAGAAATCGATACACTTGAAATTCCATGTAAACATGTTTGTAGCTCAGGATGTATGTCTTTGTGGAGACTATCAATCAGCATACAGATGCCTACTGCAGCTATGGAGGTGGAGAAGATACCCAAGCTAGACAAAAGAAGGGCATCCAAGATAGAATCCCTGAGCTAAATGCCTGTGAAGGAGAGAGCCAGCAAAAGTGACCGAATTTTTCATGTACAAGAGCAACTAAAGCCAAAAAGAATTGAGTAGAGAGTGTTTCAAGGAGGAGATGGTCAAAGTCAAACAATATGACAATTAACATGGATCGATGGGATTTATCATCTGGGTTTGTGGGAATTTGGAAAGAGAAGCTTTATTGGCATGATGGGAGCTGGATTCAGTTTACAGTGAAGTGAGACCTGTCTCTATTCCCCCTCTTCGTAAATGACTTTAAAAGATTGTAAAGTTCTTCTCCGAATGACAGCATACTGAGGTTGTGAAAGACAATCAAGCATTAGATAAAAGAATAAGTTGGCTAGTATTTAAGGTGATTTTCTGCCTTGAGATTTTATTTTCTAGGACAAACTGATCTGAAAATATGTTCTCCCCTCAGAGATGCCACTAGAGGGATATGACCCAGTATTCTTCAATAACATTCCCTGGCTTATTCCTTTGAATAAAATGTATTTTTTTGTTGTGTGTATATATAAAAATAATCACCAGCCACTGATGGATGATATATGATTATTAAAATATGTTTTTAAATTTTCTAATTATATTTTAATATTTTTTCTTTATCATTCATAATTAAACATTGTTTTTAATTTACATTATTTGCATTTTTGTCCCACCTCATTTAGTCAGCTTTTATCTTTCTATTCCATATAAACTATTGTTATTTTTATTTTCTTGTTAATATCTTTCCCTCTCCTCATTTATTTCTTTCTAAATTAAGTTCTTAGAATTGTGTTGATTTTCAAAAAAGTAACAAGAAAAATAAAACATTAGCATAGCAGTAACTAATACTCCCCATGTTTTAAGGGAAGGGGAAAATATCCTTCATGGCAGCTGTTAGTAAAGAATACAGCA